GATGTATTTCCTCAGCGACCAGCACGGATCAGCTCCAGGCATGACGAAGCGGATATGGTCCTCTTTTGGAAGGTCAAACAAAGTAGTTTCGCTTTCACAACGAAACACAGCATCTCCACGGCATGGCGGCGGCGGCAACAATACTACAATGAGAATAAAAGTTACGCCTTCGTTCTTTGCGTGAACATTTGGGCGGCATTGGGCATTTGGACATGTTAGAACGAGCCGTTTTAGGCAGGCGTGGTTGACTCTTAACTTTTATAAAGAATATCTCTTTGGATTTGAGACTTTAGTCTTTGCAACTTTACAGATCTTCTTTATGCACCAAGAGCTTGTAACACTTCAAAGAGAAAGGAAAAATTGAAATAGCATCATATGACCCCTTTAATACAAAACAACACAATGCAGGCACAGATAGATTCTATTGAATGTTTAATAGAGAAAGATAATAGAGCACATTTGTGAGGCTGGTGACAGCCCATTCTCTCAGATCATAAACAGAGATTGCCACTAAACTGAATATAAAGCCACTTGATTAATTAATCATTAGAGTCTTCCTTTCATGTCCACGGGGGCATTTGCTTGTAGTGTGACATCCACGTCGAAGCCATCTGTTTGCAGTTGGGTTTCACTCACAACAATGCTGTTTGTCTGGAACCTGCGCTGAGCCGCCATTCTAATATGCTATGATTAACAACAGCCTAATCATAACTAATGAGTCTCTCTCATCCAGCCCTTTATGCTGCTAATTGTTATACAACAACATGATAAATGCTTAATATGCAAAACATGTTAATGCGCTAAAAGGCTAAGTCAGGGGGAAACTAGCGACGTTACAATCAAACCGCATGCTGAATTAGCACTAATCAAGATTTAAGATGACAGCCTTATTGCTGTTTGCTGCTCAGTATGGGTTTATGAATGTTTTATGGCAGAGTTTATCTCAAATATTTATTTAATGTACTCCATTTAGACATATCAAGAAAATCAGGTGCAGTTAAGTCAAGTTTAAGGCATAATGGCACACTGTCCACTGTCCTAAATCTACAATTTACAAATCAAGCCCACAGCGCAAAACCGTTAGGCTGGAGGGCCGCTTCCCTGATAGGTACTCAATGGAGCATTTTGGATTTAATACTAATGTGCCATGAGACTAAATGAGCCTTTATTTCCCTCCAGATAAGCCTAAATTCTATGAGAAAGAGAGAAAGCAAAATAAACCAGTCCAAAATTGGATTTGAATTTCTCCCAGCTCATGTTTATGTAGCTTGCTTGAGCTGGCAAAATATTGTGAAAGTGATAGACAGACGTTGATTTATGACAAATCTCTCTAAAAGTACAGCCCTTAATATAGAATGACTGGCTATCATTTCCACACATACTCATTCGTATGATAAATATGCATCTTTATTATTAAAAACTGGTATGAATTTCACAAAATGCTGCTAACCTGCCTAATGCTACAGTCAAAGTGATGTATGCAAAGAATGGTTTAAATATTCACTGCCTAGCTCTACCTCACAACTAAAGGAAGGGAAGTGACAAAATTATTTTGTCAAGTTGAGCGATATAATATTTAGACAGGTTGTATTCAGATGGTTTTAATGTAATTGGCGAGGACCGCTCATCCCTGCCCAGGTTCTCATGGGATAGTCTGTGCCTGCAGAGCTGCCTGAGGCAACCTCCTCGACTGGCAGAGTGCCTGACAAGCAGGTCAATCACTGCCTCTGAATGCAGCCGATGCGATTCTGACCTCCGACCAATAGGGGCGGTAGATCTCGGTTCGTCACAGTAGGTGATATTAGTAGAAATGTTTAAAAAGCTCTAAATGGAACTCAGTGACCTGCCTAAGCCTAATCTGGAGACATTTTTAGAGACACAGTCTATGTTTTGAATTCAAATGACTTGATTGAATTAGCAACCAATGGAAAATTCCACCTTATATAAATTTCTTACCTCAAAGTCAGTGATAACCGGTAGCTTGACAAGAACATCTGTAAACACTAATTTAAAGTGATAGCCAAAATGCTGCCAAAAATGAACATTTGGTCACCATTTACTCACCTATATATCATTCCAAACCTGTATGACCTTATTTAGAACGAAATAAAGAAGATATTTTGAGAAAAGCTTGTGTTTTAATTTTTTTGGCCATACAGTATAGTTACTGTACCAAAAATATCTTCTTTTGTGTTCCACGAAAGAAAGTCATTCAGTTTTGCAACAACATGCGGGTGAGTAAATGATGATCGATTTTTTTCATTTTCGGGAGAAGTAATGCAGATGGATGGTACTAGTACCAGACCGGGTGAAGCTGGTGACGTTTACCCTGTGAGAAGACGTCTACATGGGGCTGGTCAGCATTGATGGTCTTCAGGCAGCTGTGGTATGTGCGCTTCAGAGCATGAGCTTCTGTGTGAAACTTCTGTAGCTTTTTGGCTATAAGATCAGCTGGCATCAGTGTACTGGGTGTTTCTAAACGCTGTGCAACCTCTTCACTTTCAGGCCACATGAAGGTGACGTGATATACATCTGAAACATAGATAGGAAACATGGGTAAGGTCATGTTTTAAACACCAGGGTATATGTGCTGAGGTGGAAGTATTGTGTGTAAAATACAAAAAACTTCATCATAGCATTTATTTTGACAGTGAATCTCCTAAAAAAAGATTCATAAACAGAGGTCATAAACAAACAAAAGGGAAAATGGCAATTATGTGGAAATTGTGCATTCGCACCATCACAAATCTGCAGGGAGCTCTGGCTTTTGTTCATTACAGCTGGGCTTTCTGAAACCCTGAGGACACACAGGGCCCTTTTGGGATTCGGCAAACAGGTTGAGCACTGTCAAGGTCTACAGATAATGAAATGCATTCTAACAAGGGTGCGTGTTGGCTGCCTGTCTCGAAGTCCCACTCTCTGAACTAAGAAAAGTGTAATGATCATACAGACATTACCTCCTGTGACAGGGTCTATCCTCTTGCCCGAGCTCCTTTCAATCAGGATGACATCAGGAGCTTCCAGCATCACTGTGAGGAAAGAGTTAAAAAAAGCGGTCGGTCTCATTATCGAGTCCTGATTCAAACCTCTTGTTTTTCAGTTGGGAACAACAAAGTGTTTGGACAACATGCCACTAACCAACATGATCTGGGGTGATGCCTGCTTCTTGTAGACATAGTGCCTCTTCTTGTGTCTTGGGAATAGCTTCCAAAACCCAGCCCTGGAAATACAATGCATGTCATGCACATACTTCTCTTGAGAAGGAACAAACAATCTGCTTTAAACAATAACCCAACTCTCTGGTGACAGAGTCCAACTCTGCTGGTGACACAGACGATGCTGATGCCTTCTGCTATTAACACAGCTGAAACCTTGCATTTTGTCTTCACACACTCACACAGACACACACACACACACACACATGATTTTTCTGTTTACATTTCTATAAATGCACTTGCTATTCCCCACGGTCAGCTACTATGCTTAAATTGTTGTTTCAAATTGTTTTCATATAAGCAAAACAATATCATGCCTGGAAAAATACTTTAAAAAACAGTAATAGGCTTTGAATGAATAATTTTATATGAATAATTCATATAAATTGCTGCCCTGTACCAGTCTAAATAATGAATGTATAAATTGTTGTATGAATAAGGAGTAAAACTGGCCCATATGGGGTCTCATTCAGGGAGGCAAATGGAGGGTTAAATCCATAAAATCCTTGAAAATGTGCCTAATTCTCCAGCTCCTTTCCACACTTCTCACTTAGCAATAAAAATAACATAAGAAGAAAGGAAACCGCATGCATATCATTCATTAGCTACAAATCCATAAGAAAAAATCCTCCTCTCTAATAGTCTCCTAAATCCCAAGGCTTGCTGTGCAATGGTGCTGTAAAATAAAGAACAGTCAAAGAACCAACTCCCAAAAGTGCTTGTTAGGGGCCAACTTATTACTGCAGCGAATAATCTTAAAATAAATAAATATATGCAACAAACATTTATAGATCTAAGTATTATCAGAGGAGCTGTGGGTTTTTGCTGCCGAGTTTCGAGTGTCTGTTTGATATCAGCCTTTGTTTTTTCAGGCTTTGATCTTTAACTGCAAACCTATCCTTTGCTTCACCTGATCTCAGCGCACAAGTTTCCTCCCACTTACTTTCCCATTAAGCATTTGATTGCCTCTGTGGCTGGGAAGCCCATGAGCAGGGCCTGACTCACAGATTGCTTGAAAGGCCTCTAGCCTACACAATCTAACTGCCATGAATATAGGAAAAATACCGGGTGGATGTTAAGAAAACCACAGGCTCTTGAATTACAAATGTCAGTACACTCTTAAAAATAAAGGTTCTTTATATTGGCATCTTTTATTCTATGAAGAACCTTAAACATTAGCAATTCTAGAATAAGATGCTGGAATAATATTTATTACAGAACACACAGACATCATCTGAGGATTATATACAAATATGCAACTGTAGACATTCAGACATTCAGAGACCGACAGGTAGAGTCCAAACTTGCTTCAGTAAAACTTCTGTACACACATACACGCTCTCTGCACACATTAACTCCCGCACAGACATACATCTGAACACAGAGCCCCACTGCGACTTGTTTCATTCCGTTTCATCCCCACATCAAAAGAGGCTGTGGTACTGTAGCAGTGGGCTCAGACAGAGACCCCAGGACTGGAACATCTGCAGTGAGGCCAGCTATCACAGGAGGGACATGCGTGGAGCAGATGTCACCAGCCAGCCCAACAGCAGGCAAGGCAGGGGAGCAGAAGCGGCGCCCTGACATGTCACTCACAGACCCCGACATGCAGCTCCCCCACACAATAGACCGACAATATTGCAGCTTGCGTGGCTGCAAAACACTCCACTTGACTTTTACAATTAGATCTCAATTAGTTGTTCACTTAGCTGTTAACCACTGATTATGTGGTTATTTTATATTTTGTGCTAGTTTTTTAAATAAAAAATAAAATGAAGTGAAATGAAATGAAATGCCAAAGAATGCAACAGAACCCAGGTCTCATGATTTTTTTTAAATATTGAAATTCTTTTCATTTGATATGGCATTTCAAATGCAGCGCGCAGTGAAAAATACTGGAAAAACAAGACACATCAGTTATGGCTTCAGAAAATTCAGCTTTGCCATCACAGGAATAAATGCATATTAAAATATATACATATTAAAATATATTAAAATAGAAAACAGTCTAAATTGAATTACATTTAAAATTGTAATAATATTTCACAATATTATGTTTAAATATGTTTTGATCAAATAAACGCAGCCTTAGGGAGCATAAGACATTTTTTTTAAATCTTACCGACCCCAAACTTTGGAAATTGCCTGAATTCTTTTATTGTTGCTGTTTAACTAAATCAGATTATTATATTTTTTTTAAATGTCAGGTAAAACATGTCCGTAAAGTATTATCTGCATTGTGTGTTCTCAAAAAGTTTCAATATCATTTCATTCGCAAACTTTTCTTTAGATTACTCCTTTCTCCCTCAAAATAGAATTACAGACACTATGCAAATTCAAACAGCATAACTTTATTTGGAAGCCTCATTAGGGATCCGGATGACTGTGACATGCGCCCCATGATCTTTCTTTCTTTCTTTCCTTCCTTCTTTTTTTCTAATTTACTTTAGGGTCCATCTTTTTTTCCAGGACTGAAAGGCACTCATTAAATTGACATTTTACTTTAAATCACTATTCATTACCTATGCTCCCTCTCTTCATTTTCCACAAGTCTAAAGTTTTACAAACAGCAGCCTCATGAGAGTACGAGAGAGCGAGGGAGAAAGAATTAAGACAGCTTGAGAAGCAGTGACAGGCAGAGATGAACTAGATGACCTAGATTAGGCATGATTAACATTCATTGTTGCTTAATTTGGAAAAACAGGTAGACAAGC